AATTAAATACTTCCCATGAATGAAATAAATATGATTTATCTATAAAAAAGAAAATAAGGTACATTCTATGGCATGTGAACATGAACCAGTATACAACACAAGTGAAGAGAATTTCTTTATCTCTTGTCGCCCTTAATCTACCAAAAATTGACACAGTAACATAAGTTTTGTTTCTTATCTTAAAGAACATTATCCAGTGCTATACATATATTTGTACAAATATTATAAAGCATTTGAGTGGTCTCCAGTCATAATTGTAGAGAAAATATACTTTTGATTTAACTAGTATTTGAGACACACGTATATCTTATTTTAATTTCTCCTTATAAAATTGATATTACCTTAAAGTAGATTATTATGCTTCAGTAGTGTAGAATCCAGGATCTACACTGTGGCAAACTGTGGCAAAATTTAGTTTGTAAAAAGAATACAAGAGAAATAATTAAATATATGCCTCTTCAGTTGACTTACTCACTGATGATACTGCAAACAATGCTGTTGCAAACTAATTGTTATGGAAATAAATCCTTGAAGATCAGAAAACCTTACAGCCTCCTTAGTTGTGGGTGTAATTAATCATTAATTCACATAAGATTTGTAATTAGAAATTATTATGAAATTATATTGAATTTAGTTGTTTATCTTGGGAATGCATTATTCTAAAGATAAATAGCATAAAATAATATGTAGGTCTTATTTGCTATGATCACAGAAAAAATAAGTTTGACATTTTGAGTGTTTATTCTGGTTTTATCCACCTAAACAAGAAATATTTTTGTGGGGTTTGACGTACCCATACATTTTTGGAGTCATATGGGAGACAAAATTTAAATATGAAAGTTTAAGTTTATAGTTTAGTTTTATACATAAAATTATGTCTTCTACATACATAGGAAGCAAGAGGAAAAGTGACTAAGATATCACAAGGCCCCACAATGTAGAAAGAGAACAAATAGAGGAGGTTTGAATTGTCCTTTCTGAAGGAGCATGGAAGAACCAAAAAGATTTCTTGAAGCATCAGGGTTGATTTTGTGTGTCACCTTGACACAAACTAGTGTCATTGCAGAGAAAAGAGCTTCAGTCGAAGAAATGCCTCCACAGGATCCAGCTGGAAGGCATTTTCTCAGTTAGTGATCAAATAGAGAGGGCACAGACTATGGTAGGTGATGCCATCCCTGGGCTGGTAGTCCTGGTTTCTATATGAAGGCATGCTGAGAAAGTCATGTGATGTAAGTCTGCATAAAGCACCCTTTATGGTTTCTACATCAGTTCCTTCCTCCTGGATCCTGTCATGTTTGAGTTCCTGTCCTGACTTCCTTCAACAATGGACTTCCTGCAATATGGAAATGTAATCCTTATTAACTCTTTCTTTCCCAACTAGGTTTTGGTAACAGTGTTTCATTACAGCAAAAGACACCCTAATGAAGACAACAGAATGCTAGGGAATTTAGGAGAAATGAAGCAATGAATGACATATAAAAGTTTCAGAGAAGAAAATGCAAGTTAAAGTTGGCTTAGAATATTTAAGGATTTTAATATTAATTATAATTTGTATTGCTGTAAGCATTCTAATAAAGGATATATATCCTATAAATACATTTATATTTCATCTAACTTGTTCTTCTAGTATAAACAAATAAAAATAGATGATAAACAGATGATAATGATAAATCATATCAAAATAGACAGTAATCATTTAATATGAAATGAGACTTTTAATGGAATTATAAAGAGAGAATGTTTTCACTACAGCCTCCACAGAATACTTGAAACTGATTAATATCAGCTTTAGACTAGAAACAGGTTTATTCAATTCATTCTTATTGTATACATTATTGGATGACTCTAATGTGGGAAAAAAATTGCATAATAATACACAAACAAGATCAGCACTACATTATTGACTTGTATATTTTTATATTTATTCTGCTTAACAAGGCATTTTAACCTCTTAGAGTTAATCATGTTTTTGATTAGTGATGTGCTGCCTGTCATCTTGCACTCAGAAAAACACATTACATACACTAATTTTTAGACCTTAATTGAAGGATTATGAATTCCCAAAAAGTTTAAAATACTAACTTTTATCACTTAACATATTGTCTTACAAGAAAAGGTGTACTTTGTTAAATTATATGAAAGCTATTTTAAAAGTTCCTAAATACATATCTTCCATAAAATGTTTGTTGTAGGAAATGAACAACATAGCTGCATTCCCTGCCCAACCATATCACCTATGTTCTCATTTAGGGTTACTTCATGTCTAACAGGCCACTGAAAGCTGCCCACTATGTACATATTTAGTATTTTGTAGGATAAGTTTATCAATGTATATTTGTACCCATAATTCTAGTGCCTGACATGAGCCATCATCAAATAAAACAAAGTCCTATTGTTTCAAGAAGGATTGCTTATGAGTGGGGATGCAATGGAACCACCCATAGTAGACAATTCAGTGTAACTCAGTAATTATTAGAGAGTTATTTCTACATAGTGATAAAACTTTGCATACTTCTCTGGAAAAGCTGAGGTCTATATGTTCCCCTTATTCCCCTAAGGAGTTTACACTTTCTTATGTATGGGATTTGTTGCTAAACATTTTGACACAGTTTAGTTTGATCATATTTGACAACACTTAATGCACATATCACATTTGACCATGAATTCTTAAGGCATTTCTGTCCTGTAGTACTTCCATTGCTTTTTTAGATAGGAAAGATTTCTCTTTATGCTGACGTATCTATTCTATTCTTGATGTTTTAGAGTCTTGACATGTCGGTAATTCAAGTTAAAGAAATGTGCTGATATGTAAAAGTGCAAAATATGTTAGCCTTCTTCTTTAGCATTTATTCTATGTGGAAAAAATAAAAAGAGGATATTTATAGGATAAGCTATTGCTTCTCAGAAAAATAGTTAATTTTTATTGGAGTTTACTAGGAATTCTTCTTCATGACAAATGTATTGATGGTGGGAAAATGCCTGACTCATACTTTTGGCTCCCTCATGTCCTCAGCATCCCTCTTTTTCTCCCCTTCTCATTCTCCTAGCTCCTTCCACCCTCTTCCCATGCTCCCAATTTGCTCAGCAGATCTTGACCCTCTCCCTTTCTCCAGGGGACCATGTATGTTTCTCTTAGTGTCCTCATTGTTTATTAGCTTCTTTGGTAGTGTGGATTGTAGGTTGGTAATCCTTACTCTATGTCTAAAATCCGCATATGAGTGAGTACATATCATGTTTGTCTTTTTGCGATTGGGTTACCTTGCTCAGAATGGTTTCTTCTAGATCCATTCACTTTCCTGCAAATTTCAATATTCCATTGGTTTTTTTGTTTTGTTTTGTTTTTTTCCGCTGAGTAGTACTTCATTGTGTAAATGTATCACATTTTCTCTATCCGTTCTTTGGTTGAGGGGCATCTAAGCTGCTCCCAGTTTTTGGCTGGGAGCCAAATAGTGCTGCTATGAACATCGTTGAACAGATGTCCTTGTTGTATGAATGTGTTTCTTTTTGGGTATATGCCTAAGAGTGGCATTGCTGGATCTTGTGATAGACTGATTCCCATTTTTTTTTTTGATGAGTCGCCATACTGATTTCCATAGTGGCCGTGCAAGTTGGCATTCCCACCAGCAGTGGAGAAGTATTCCCCTTTCTCCACATCCTCTCCAACATGAACTGTCATTGGAGATTTGGATTTTGGCCATTCTGACAGGATATGTCATCCTATAGCCTTCATCCAGCAGCTGGTGGAAGTAGAAGCAGATACCCACAACTAATCACTGAACTGAACTGTAACCCAGATGCAGAGAAGGACCAGTGATGAACACAGGGTTCCAGACCATTCTGGTGAAATCCACAGAAACAGCTGACCTGAACATCTGGGAACTCTTGCTCCCCAGACTAATAGCAGGAACACCAGCTTGGGACTGATCCAGACCCCACGAACTTGGGTTTCTGTGAGGAAACCTCAGAAATCTGAGACCTCCTGTAGAAGTTCAGTACTTATCCCTAGCATAGGTGTGGACTTTGGGAGCCCATTACATATAGGGGAATACTTTCTGAGTCAAGACACTTGGGGGTGTGCCTAGGCCCTATCCCAAAGGATACAATAGACACTGATGACACCCTATGGAAAGCCTCACCATCCAGGGGTAGCAGAAAGGATATGTTGGGAGGGGGGCGGTAGGGGAGGATGGGTGCGAGAAGGGATCTGGGATTGTCATGTAAAACAATCCTGTTTCTAATTCAAATAAAAAATTGGGAAAAAAAGAACAATTTTTTTTTATTTACAAGAAACACGCAGCATAGAAATTGTTTATCCTCCTTCATTCATCCTTTTCTATAGTGAATATCTTATAATTTCACACTGCATTTAATTAATAATTTTTTCTGAAGTATTTAGTTACTCAGATTATTCTTTTTGTTTTATGATTCCACCATGTTACTTTTGATTAGATTTTTATTGTATTATAGTTTCAGATTTCTCTTTTCAGGAAGGACTTTGGTGATGAGGACTATGGCTACGTACCTGTTCTGCTGCAGAAACATATATTGGACCATGAATGATATTCTCTGTTCTCACTGCTTAATGCAGTCCTTGTTTATTCACAGTGCATTTTTGAAAAGAGAAGATGTGCATTTGTTTCCAAGGATTTTCACATTCAATACTTGATGTCTGTTTTTTCTTAGTTACTTTTATTTTTGTGGGGGAAAAAAGCAAGTTAGGGAGGTAAGGGTTAAGATAGGTTGACATTCTAAAGAAGCAAGTCAAGGTGGCAGGAGCTTAGGGCTCATGATGATATGTATCCTTGATCAGAACACACAGAATAATGAATATCAGTACTCGGGGATTTTTTTTTCTTTTTGTTCAATCTCGATAATTCCTCACTTGTATTCAGATTCTTTGCAAACATATTTTAAATTCTGGGAAATTAGTAGTCAATATTTACTACTACAGTAACCAAAACACACATGCTTTTAAAAGATTTAAAAGTAGATGCATCTGATAGGTTTTTAAAAATCTATTTTAATATGACGTTGAAAAATATGTGATGGCTCTTACATGTTTGTATAGGAACATGATAATGAATATTTCACTGATTAATGAGAAGTATAAGTAAAATGAAATTAATAATATACAATGAAAATTTAATTTAGAAAAATAACAAATTTATAAATCTCAGAATAAACACACCCTTCAATCAGTCCAGTTATCTTTTACTTTTTAAGAGAACTGATACCACTAAACTTGAGAAAATATTAACAATAAAATGGGACTCTATTCCTGGTCTAAAATGACCTGAAGTATAATAAAGGCATGTTAAGGAGATATATTTAAAATATGTTGAAGTACAAATGACAAAGATTTTCTCCTTTTCTCTGTGGTGTATCTTTGTTCTGCTAATGGTTTCTGTCATTGCTATTTTTTTTCAATTTCCTGTTGTTCCACACATTAAATATTGGGGCTAGTCCATGTGCTATTGAAGTTCTGTTCAGAAAATTCTTACCTACTCTAATCCAAAGTCTTGAAAATGTCCAGGGTGTTTCTGCTAGCAGTTTCACCACTAAATTAAAATCTTTGACTCATTTGAACTGATTTTTGTACAAGATGAAAAATATTCAATTAATTTGCAGCTTAATATACAGTTTTGTCACTGCCATTTATTTAATAGCTTTTTGTTTTGTTTTGTTTTTCACTGCAGTTTTTTGCCTCATTTGTGAAATAACATGGCTGTAACACAGTCCACTTCTTCTGGTCTTCAAATTTCTTCCACTTTTGACCTCGCTGATTTGATCCTCATGCCATACTATCTTTGTCATTTTAACTCTATAATTTGAGGTCAGTTATGATGATAGTTTTCTAACTCCTTTTTATTTATTTTGAGGTACCATATAAAATCTTGGAGTTTGTTTGCTTATTTTTTTATATCTATAAAATGTGAAAACACATACTTGATTGTTATTCCAATAAACTGGTAAATGATTTGGATATTATAGGTATTTTACAATTGTAATTCTGCCAACCCAGAAGCACAGGTTTTTCTTCCTTTGTTGAGTATCATATTTCATTTTCTTTGTCAAATTTTGATGTTTCTGATGTAAAAAAGAAGAAGAGTTATTTGTTATTGGTAAGACATTATGAAAATCAGTCTGGTGTTCCTCAAAATATTAGAAATAGAACCTATAATATGACCCAGCTATTACACTTTTAGTAATATACTCAGAGAACTCCATATCCTTTCACAGAAATATTTGCACATACATATTTATTCATATTCTACTTCTGACAGAAATTCAATAGAACCAAAATAGATGTCTATCAAAAATGAATTCATAATGAAAGCATGCTATAGGTACAATATATATGCATATACATATTCAACTGTTAAATCATGAAATTAGCAGGAAATGGATGGACAGACTGAGTGTATACTAATAAATTGGGTCACTCCTTAGTCTGAAGTTCCTAGTCAATTTCATATGTGTATTTGTGTGTAAACTATGAGTGTTTAGATAGTATAATATTTAGAAAAGAGAGCAATAAATGGTAATATAAGGTGATTAGGAAGTACTGAATTCAGGGGAAAAGGACTCATGAGACATAAAAGAAAAGATAAACTTAATTTTTGATAATTTTACCTTTGTCATTTTTTGTGTCTGTGTGATGAATGTGGTTGGTTAGTCCAAAAAATGTAATTCATAACAATTCTAACTCTCAAACAAAACTCCAAATATTCAAAAGGGCCATTCTAGCTTTATAAAAGTTAATCATAATGCATGGAGTTTGCAGAAGACAAGGGTTTGTTTGGCTGGACAATCACTCTAGCGGTGTGATATGGCTTTTTTGAATTCATCACAATAAAGTGATTAATGTATCATGAAAGGAAATATTTAATGTTAGAAAAACCAAAGTCTTAGGTGTCAAAAATGTTTTTTCAATTATTATTAATTAACTACTTAGAGTAATACAGTCTAATTCATGTGGAAATTATGTTGAAATGATAAATATTATCATTATTCACTAAATATGTGTTAAGTACATACTAGAAAACATTAGAAAATACATCAAACAATGTACACATTCATGGAGCTAATTGGTGGTCATATTGTTCTAGAATGTCCAACCAATACTTACATTTAGAGATAAGGGGACTAGATACATCAGAGAGTTGTTTCTTGGTGTCTTCTATTATTAAACTAATAACTAACAAGACATAAAATAAAACATTTGCTGGGCGTTGGTGGCACACACCTTTAATCCCAGCAATCGGGAGGCAGAGGCAGGCGGATCTCTATGAGTTCGAGCCAGCCTGGTCTCCAGAGCGAGTGCCAGGATAGGCTTCAAAGCTACACAAACCCTGCCTCGAAAAACCAATAAATAAATAAATAAATAAATAAATAAATAAATCATTTTAAGTATGCATAATTCAATGTATGTATAAAATGTTTCATGTAAAGCAAGTTCAAAAGGCATTTACATGATCTTCAGAATAACCATAATATTCAAAGTTATGATACTTGAAATCAAATTAATCTGCTCCACACCAGGACTTAGAAATATTCAAATCTAGTTATTTATAGTAATGAATCAGCTTTCTTTATCACACAATCATTTCACATGGGAAATCCTGATTTTATCTCTTTATACTTTTCTCCTTATATATTGCTCTTGTCAAAATATTACACATGGAATCAAAGAATCTTGGCCAAGTTTCTCATACCTGTCTTTGGTGTTTCTGTTTCAAACAAGCAGCAGGAACACTTATCAAATATTGAATAAACAATATGCTAGGCAAATCACAACACCTTTATTCATCATCTGTTTCAAATAATATGGTCCTGAAATAGCACTTAGTGGAATGAAGTTTAACAAGTAGTAACTAGGCTTGGCAGTAATACTGAAGCAACAGTTGTTGATGAAGCCATTTCTGGCAATGTATGTTATCTGTTTTGCTAAAGACAATGTACTTGTTACCTTTACATTGATATTTGAAGTGATTTTCACACAAATATGTCTAGACAGAAAACACATAAGACTGTTTATGACAGTCACTGTTTGAACAACTCCTAGAAATAATCATCCGGTATCCACCATCTCATTAGTGAGAAATGCCCTGGTTTCGGATTAACATGAAGATAATATGATGTACTCTAATGACAGCTGTCTATCTATAACCAGATTATGAAGAAAGGATTGCGGCTTTTGTTGGCCCTCTTTTTTTCCTGTTCAGATGAAGCAAGCTACCATTTTGTGAATAACTCTGTGGAAAGGTCCATGTGGCAAGTTACCAATGGAAGCCTTGACCTTGCAGCTTGTGTGGAGCTGAAGTCAGTCCAAAAGTATGGCAGCAATACAGCCTTGCCAGTAATTTGAGTAAACTGGGAAGTGGATCCCAGCAGGTCTAGTGATGACTACTGCTAGCTGGACACACTCTTGACTCATAAAATGTGATAAATATCTATGGTTACATTATTTTTGTAATTCTTAGAACAACAATTAAGAATCTATTACCTAATGCTATAGGCAGTATGTATCAGAATATGTCCTTTTATTTTTTCCCCCTCTTACCTTTGCTACTATATCATCTTTGCAAGATTTAGGAAGGAATCCAGGCAGGAAAACCTGAATTTGCAAATCTCTCATTCCAAGGAGCATTTCCATTACAAAGGAGATGTTCCAAGGAAAGGCTTTTGAAGTCCAACAATAGCACAAAATTTAGGGTCCCTGGGAACTCAGTCATCTTCCTTCCAAGAACCAGCCTATTCCAACCCTGAGTATGAGACATAAGTGAACCCTGAGTTCCTAATACAGATTAAAATTATTCTAGGTTAATGCCACAGAGGTTCCCTTCTTGATGACAATGCCCATCTGCAAGTTATTTCAAGGTACTGAATTCTCCTCTAAGTGGAAAATTAATTGTGAAAGTGTATCAGCTTATAATGGATTTTAAATTATCTAAACATCTTCTCTGTTTCTAATGCATAATTCCTTTATAGTAACAGATGAATAGACATAAAAATTAACTTTATGAAGCATTCACCACACCCATAATGTCCATGTATAGGAAGTCTTCTTATATTTTAATGTATTCTCTGAATAAAATTTCTTATATGTGAATTTGCTATCTATTGTAAAAGACTAAATAGAAATTTGTTATTTTTTCCAGTGATTGTTGACTATTTTTATTTTTACATCTGTAACACAACTTCTCTTGTTCATAAATATAGTTAAATTTATTTTAAAATTTGTAAAAATTAATTTCAAACATAAAACATCTTTTAGGGGGAAGAGGACATGAGGGCCCAGGAAGATTGAGTCCTGGGTAGTATAGAGGAGAGCAAGAAAAGAGATACCTTAATAGAAGAAGCCATTATAGGTTTAAAGAGAAATCTGGCACTGGGCAAATGACCAGAGATCTACAAGGATGACCCCAACTAAGAATCTAAGCAATGGTGGAGAGGCTACCTTAAATGCTCTTGCCCTATAATGAAATTTATGACTACGTTATATGCCATCATAGAGCCTTCATCTAGCAGCTGATGGAAGCAAAATCAGAGACCTTCAGCTAAGCACTGAACCAAACAGGATTGCAGTTGTAGAGAGGGAGGAGTAGTGTGCAAAGGGCTCAAGACCAGGCTGGGGAAACCCACAGAAAGAGCTGACCTGAAGAAGAGGGAGCTCATAGATCCCCAGAATGACAGCTGAGAAACCAGCATAGGACAAAAGCAGGCCCCCGATCATGGGCGTCAGTTAGGAGGACTGGGCAATTTATGAGGCCTCTTGTAGTAGAACAGTATTTATCCCTAGTCTATGAATGGACTTGGGAAGCACATTACCCATAGAGGGATACTCTCTCAGCCTGGACACACTGGGGAGGGCCTATGTCCTGCTCCCAAAATGTGACAGATTAGAAGATCCTCCATGGAAGGCCTCACTCTCCCTGGGGAGAAGAAGAGGGATGGGGTGGGGGATGGGAGGATGGCAGGGAGAGGGAATTAGGATTGATATGTAAAATGAGATTGTTTCTAATTTAAATTAAAAACATAAATCTTTTATGTATTAATCTAAATAACAAAATTATTCTAATCAATGGCAATATTATCCTTAAAATTTGAGATAAGCTGTGAAATATAAGAAAATACAGTGTCTTGGTTTTGGTAACCATGATTTGATGAAAATGTGTTCATGTTAGATGTTACACACTAAACCATTACCTAAACCACTAAAGATTTCAACTTAACACATCAAAATATCACCAAATAAAACACTTTCTTTAAGACTGGTTTTTCATTATGTGTCTGTATCTCTGTATATATGTGTGAGAAGGTAAGGAACTGGAGGTAAAAGTGGTTGTAGGATCCTGATATGGGGCCTAGAAACTCAACACTTAACTGTTGCCCCATCTCTTTATTCCTGAATTATTCATTTTATTTTATGGTTATTAGCACCTCCATAGTCTTCTTTATCAAAATGTAGATGCTATAACTATCTCACAGACTTGAAATGAGGACTAACTTAGCTAGAGTGAGCCAGTGTATAAAATATTATATGTGTTTTTCAATAATTTTCTCAATACATTTTTATCATAATAGTATGAGTCTGAAAAAAATAATGTTGCACCATTTTGTATAAGTAGTCGTCCAATATATAGTGACAATGGATATAAAGAAAGACATAACTCATATAGATCTCTCGAATGTTTGTTATATACCTATGAAGATGAAGAAATACACTTTTTGTTAATAAATAAGCATAGATTAACAATATTCAGCAAGATGGGTGGATAGTTTGCTAGATATAGGCATATATACCTATCTACCTAACTTAATATGTACATATATAAATAAGTGCTTGAAATAATGTTGGCATCTTTCTTGATGGAATACTATCCCAAAACAGGAGCTAATAATCCACCCATATTAGTGTACATATTTCATTTAAGGGTAGAGGAGGTAAATGCTGAATTATATAAGAATTTCAAAAGTGGGATTAACAGAACCTCTGCTCTGATCTAAAACAAATTATTCTAAAAGATATTCTTATAGAAAACAAAACAAAGCAAAGTAATAAACAAGACAGAGAAGAGGAAAATAGTGTTTAACTAAAACCTAAATGTGAAGAAAATGCAAGTAGCTAAAGGGCTCTGTTGATGTGAAGAATGAGGTAGATTATGTAGTGTGTTATAAAGTCTTCAGTAATCAAACTAAAAATTGCCTGACATAAGTTAATTCTGAAGCATCTTACACTGGGTCAAAATTTAGGCTTTATTTTGATCTTAGATATACCTCTATTAGTAAATATTAAATTAAAAGCACAATGTTTATATAAAAATAATTGAATTGTCCAAAGAGAGACAAAGTTTCAATATATTGCAATAAGGAACAACAGAATGAACATACACAGAAAGAATCACATAAATTCACACACACACACACACACACACACACACACAAACACACACACACACACTGCTTTCTTGCCATATAGTAGTTATCGATTTAAAACTTATTAGACAACTTTCAATAGCCAAGATGTAAACTTGCATTTCAATGTTTTTGAAAATATGTTACTAGGATCTGTAAATGCTATAATTGCTTTAGAGGTATATTTTTCACATAAAAATGAATTATGCTAAACTAAGACTAAATTTTTAAGTGTTATATATATATAGTGTGTATAGTACAGCGAATAATCACAGAAAAACCTATTTCTGAATTCTGATTAATGAAAAAAATTAATGCTATTTAAATCTCGGATGAACTGTTTATAATTTTGGTGTTTATGAATTCTTCTAAACAAACCACCCACTTAGATATGTTACTGAGAAATTAGCATATACAGATAATCATTTGTTTAAATTTTGATTTAAAATTTAATTTGACTAACACTTGATTAAAAAGTATTGTCATGAACATCCAAACTATGAAATACTTACCTAAAAACTAGTTCTATTTTCCAGTTGGATTATTTCCTTTTAGAGCAGGCATATTAATTTATAATTAGCCAGTCCCCCTTTCGACCATGTGTTAACTCATCCTTGTCATAGACATTTGTCATGCATATACTCATCAGTAGGTAAGGCATGGCACAAGTGGCCTGCTCAGCATTGATTGACTTCTGTTTTACAATTGCAACAGAATTTGCAATTTTTGCAAATTTGATTCTCCTGTATTGACAATAAATCACTGAATGCTATTTATACAAGAAATGAAATTGCAAGGTGCTTCTGTAACTTTTAAGAAAGAGAAGAATTTTCATTTTGATGATAGTATGTTAATAAGCTGGAGACTTTATTATTAGATTTCTTCACCAACTTGGAATAGAAGAGGTTCCTCTGCCTTCTTAAGTGTGAAGCCACACAAAGAAAAGGACTAAGATTTGGGAAAACAAACTCCATAATGCTCAGTGGGTAACAATATCCCCCTAGTGAGCCAAAAGCTAAATACCTCAGTCCCTACTGCTGCAAATCCTGAGCATGGTGGCTTGCCACTGCCATCTGAGTGCCAACAATAAAAACAGCAGATAAGGCCCAGCGTTAGTGGCACAAGCCTTTAATCCCAGCACTAGGGAGGCAGAGGCAGGACGTCTCTGTGAATTCCAGACAAGCCTGGTCTACAGAGCAAGTGCCAGAATAGGTTCCAAAACTGCACAGGGAAACCCTGACTCAAAAAAACAAAACAACAACAACAAACCCAGGAGATAAAATGTAGGTCATTTCCAAATACATAATGAGCTAAGGCTGTTGCTGAATATCTCACTTCTTTCAAATGACCTAGTAGCTTTTTGATTAAGAATGGTTTCAGTAATTATAACGATAAGACCAGAATTGAAGCTCAATGAAAAAGAAATTCTTGCATTATCAAGGCACTGGGTTCATTACATAGCACTGTAAAAAAAGACCAAAGCTGAGTAAACAACCAACAAATCAAAGAAACAAAACTCAAATTCAAAACAACAAACCCTGATACTGAGGAAAGAATTATCTTCAGTGTCTGTGAGAAAAGCTGGGAGCCAGAGAGGTGGTCATCCCTAGGGCCAAATGTCCCAATATGAAAACATTCATACAAGTAACATATGTAACTTAGAAAATTATGTTTAGGAATAAATATGTATACACATATACATTTACGCATGCAATGACAATTAATGAAAAAAGTTACAAATTAAAAAATGGTGAGAAGGCATATAGGGGAGGATTTGAAGGGAGGGATGGGAAGCAAGACACATAATTGTATTACAATCTTAAAAAATAAAATAAAGCAATAATACTTAGTAGAAATGCTGTAAATCAAACACATAAAGGAAACAGTACTCTTTTTGTATGAATTATTTGAAAAGAAACTGTACATAACAAATCTTTACCTAGTATAGGCTGTCTGTTCTGACCTGTGTTGTATATAAGTTTTCTACTCTATTCTGTGGTATTCAAGCTTTCAATTCAGAAATGGGCTAAATCTAAGGGAACTCTGTTTTCTCAGTTTATGGCACAGTGTGCATATAATTTCAGCTACAATACCTTTACAATTTAATTGGTTTCAATTAAGATAATTTAACATAAATCATTTGCATCACTTAGATGAAAAAAGTGAAAATGACAAGTTCTTTCAATCAAAACACATAATGTCTATCCATAAAATGTATTGGTCCCAGCTGTCTCCAGCCATATCTCGTTTCTATTTTATATGACTTCTTTGCAGTGATATTGATGCAGTAATGAGAAAAGATCGTAACAAAATCACAAGATTTGCTGGCATCTCTTTCAACTAGTATTAATGAGAACAATGTTTTCCACATTCTGAAATCTGTTTTTTCTATGGTCTGGTGACATTTAATTTTTAAAGTGGTAGCTATGGTTGACAGTAACATATATTTGAGAATATTTTGAGCTCTTAAGTTCAGTGTGATCATTACATATATCTATACTTATATGTATACCCACATATTATAAATATATGCATGTGTGTTGTATTTTTTGTGTGATTACAGTTCCATTTCAGAGAATTCAAGAAATCTCTCCAGAATGGGACCTTCTGAATAAGGTAGCTCTTCTCTGTAATTAATGTCCACGGTACTTTCTAGGCAGGTGTCCTGTGTTTGAATCAAGTCTTCAAGTCTTTGTCATTTGCTAACTAAACTACTTTTGGCAAGCTGACTTAACTTCTTGATGACTCAGTTCACTCTGCTGTAAATTATTAAATATTACACTATAAATTATGTGTAATAAAGCTTGGAATCATACAGAGCTAATTAGGAAAAAACTTTATGG